TAAAGTAGTTTTTGTTGCTTTTCAGAAGTCAATCAGGGTCTGAATCAATGTGTGTATGTGTGAGAATGCACCTATCTGATTGGTGACATTACTACTAATAAGACATTTTTACTTCTATATTACTGGTAAGTCTTCTTCCTACTTATAAACTTTAATTTCTCTCCAAGACTGTTTATTCAACTTGGCACTTATTTTGCCTGATTCCTGTGTACCTGAAGGACTCCAGTTAATTTCCTGTAGAGAGTGGGAGTGGGAGTGGTATTAGACTCAGTGTTGATATGAGTAGGGTCATGGCAGAAGTTTCACTAATTTACTTCTTTCTCTTCTCATCACCCTATAGCAAAAGGCATGCCTTTTTAAAATATAAATTTTCATTTCTGAAAAATTTTATTATAGTACTTTTAGATTTCAAATGTTAGACTCAAGGAAAAATACTGCATTTTGGTTACCAACTTAGGTATATTCCCTCTTCAACTTGGAAAAATATTTTCCTATGATTCCAGCACCTGTCTCAACTTACTTTTCTATGTAGACACTGTATGTTACAGCTCATTAAAAAGATCAGCTTTACTGGAGGAGACAGAGTATTTTTCTCTTACCTACACCACTGGAATCAGAATTCAGAAAAGATCCTTGCTTTATCATCAGTATTACTCAGGTCACCTCATTTAGTACTGTAGAGAGTGCTGTATAAATTATAAAGCATCACACATGTACAGGGTAAAAGCATAAAACACACACTTTTCAGAAAAGAACAATCCTTTGATTTGCCTTGAGCCAAGTTAATGAAACACTGATTCAAGATTCTGTCACTGGATGATTCATAAACCTGAGTCAATGCCAATTACATAGTAAACAAGAGGCAACAAGGAGATGAAAGGTCATAGAATAGCAACCATCCTAATACAGTGTGCATGCAGAAAACAAAAAGAGTACATAGTCATAGGAATGTTTTGAAATTTGATACATGTATGTATGTTTACAGAAATCAGTCAAAGTTGTTACAGGTGTCTGACAGCTGTTAGTTAAAGAGAATCAATGAGTAGTGGATTCTGGGGAAACTTGCAGTTTTATAGTTTATAGTTTTATAGGTTCTGAGTTCTCAAACCAGAGCCTTCACTGATTAGAATTTTTCTTTTTTTCCACTTTAAGGGGCTTCAGAAGGTCTTCTCTATACTCATCTAGAGTAACACTTCATTGTTTCAAGTTATTTCTAATTGTACCTCTTTTTGTGACTTCTTTCCCTACATGTCTTTTTTTTTTTTTTTTAAATTGAATGATCTTTTAGCTCCTTGCTTCTCATATTGAGACACATGTGGTTTGTGGGCTATATGAAGCCACAAGACACACTTGAAGTGTCTTTCCAGAAGGTTACCTAGAAAATCTGAAAAGACATTTAGTGTAGTATTAAGATTCTGCTAATTTCCTTGGCAAGTTACTTAATTTATCTGCTCCTAAATGCTTTAATCTGAAAACAGAAATAACAGTAGTGCTTGCTAGTGGGAAATAAATAAGCATTCAAATCAGTGACTAACACACAGCAAGCTTTCAGCAAGTATTAGGTATTATACATCTTAACCCTAAATTATTTGTTTTTCCACTGTGAGCAAACATAAGCAAGGATGGAGAGACAGGATATGCCGGGGGTCAAGGGTACGTTTAGGTAAAGAATGCTATCATTGAAAAGGCGACTCTGAGTAAAGTTCTGAAACATGGGAGGAAGATAACCATGGATTTCTGACAAGAAAATGCAGATAGTAGGAACAGCAAGTACAAAAGTCCCAATATATGCCTCCTATGTTTAATGACGGCAGTAGGGCTGGAGAGAGTGGGAAAGTGCACAGCTTCAAAGCTTTGACTCTGTATGGACTAGATAGCCATCTCCTGCAGCAGTGACAGGATCTGAAATGTGTTTTGAACAGTATCTCTCTGGTTGCTGAGATGAAAGACCAAAAGGACACAAGGGTGAGAACATGTAGGTTACTAGAATAACCTATCTGAGAGATGATGGTGGCTCAGATGATAATGGTGACAATGGGGGTAGTAGGTAGAATTTCTTTCCTCATTTCCTCCCTCCCTTCTTTTTGCACAATACTGGGGACTGAAAACAGGATCTCACTTAAGTCACCTGTGTCCCCAGCCCCAGAATTCCTGATATACTTTGAAGGTTAGCATTGATAGGATTTGTTGTGAAAAAACATGTAAAATGTGAAAAGAGTGGAGTCAATGATGTTTCCAAGGTCTGTTGTAATCACTAAAAAATTTAAATTGCCCATAACTGTGATGGGTTGGGGGAAATGTCAGCAGCTACTTTCAGACACAGTAAGTTTCAGATGTCTAGTAAACATTCCAATAGAGAAGTTACCTAGGTAGCTAAATAAGCTGGCTTAGAACCAGGGAAGAAGTGTGGGTTAGTTATCAATTTGGGAGTCCTGAGTATATAATGTTATTTTAAATCAAGAGGCTGGAGCAGGGTGGGTTGGCACACACTTACAATCCAGCACTAAGGAGGTTAAGGCAAGAAGGTTTGAGTTCAAGGCTAGCCTGGGCTACATATCAAGACACTGTCTCAACACCTTCCCCTCAGAAAAAAGAAAAAAAAAAAGACAAGGTGCTGCATGCGATCACCCAAGGAGTAAGTATAGATAGAAAAGAGGTTCAAGAATTAAGCTGGGAGGCTCTGACTTCACTGGGAACAAAGAATTGGAAGGGTAAAGGGATGAGAGGTCAGAGAGATGAGGGAGAACTGGCTAAGAGTAACAAAAAGTGGGAATCCTAGATGCCAAATGCACAAAGCATTTCATAGACAAGAGGGTGATCGACTGTCAAATGCTGCTGATCTACAGATCAAGGAAGAGGAGGGCTGAAAGATGTCTACTGCATGTAGCAACAATGTCATCACAGATGACCTTGACAGCAGTTCAAGTTGACTACAGTGAGAAAAATGCTTATTGCAGGACATGCAATAGAGAATGAGAGGGAAAAATTGGAACTGGCACTTTTAAGATGAGATGGGTTGGGTGTGTTCAGGGTGGTATGGTTGTAGAGTTGGGTACATTTAAGAAACTCTTTTGCTTCAGTTATTTTTCAGATAGGGTCTTGCTTTTGCCTGGGGTGGTCAAGATCCTGGGATTATAAGTGTCCACTACTACGTCTGGCTTATTTATTGAGATTGGTTCTTGATAATTTTGCCTGGGCTGGCCTGGAATTGTGATCCTGGGTCCATCTTTGCCTCCCAAGTAGTTGGGATTATAGATGTGAGCTGCCACATCTGGTAAGCACTTTCTTTTCATATTCAAGTTAAGTATGAATAGCCTTATTAATATAATTTGTAATATTCAGTTAAATATGACTGTTTACTTGAAAATTTCCCTCATCATATTATCTTCATAAACATATAGAAGTCTGCTGTTTTGATAAAGGAGAGGAGGAAAAGAAAAGACTTGGGGGAAAAAAGAGGGAAATAATAAACAGCATATTCAGATCCATGAACTACTGGAACTAAAAATGGTTCTAGTCAGTCATAGATAAATGGGAAATATCAGCTTTAACATAATTTCTAGTGTTAGGCAATCAGAATCACCCATGGACCTCTAAAATGCATGCACACATATGTGCACGTGCACCTAGAGTCACCACTCAGACTAACTGCACAAGTTTATAGGCTGAGTTCTGGACACTTGATTTTTTGAAATCTCTATAGGTGATTATGGAATTTGAACACATCACAGCCCAGCTTGGATTGAGAATCACTAGTATATAACACTTTAAAATATAAAATAATCAGCAATAGTGTTTGCCTGGAATGTGCAAGGTTTCATCCCTAGCACTGTAAAAACAAAACAAACAAACATAAAATAAACCTAAACAGTCAAGCTCTTCTAAGAAATTCAGTGGTAAAGTCAGTGTACTAGAAATTTTGAGAAGAATGAGCGATTTCAGCAGTCATAGCGGACTATTGCTGCAAGTGGGTGATGTTACAGTATTTTCCAACCAAAGTTAGTACACAGAATGCTTCACTAAGGATAAAGGTATGTCCTTACACTAAAAGACTCCTACTTACAACAACATTCAAGGAAAAAACCCTATAATCTCCACCTTGTTATCTGAATGCATCTAACAGTTTCCTATTGAAAATTAAGTAACTTAAGGGGTCAGATAAAATCTAATAGAAATAGTCTCTACTTGAATCAATATAGACATAATTTACTTTTATGCCAATATCTAGTAGTCTATTTCAGAAATCAATTGAGATAGGTTTAAAACTAATGTTTTTATTTGCAATTCCAAGTAAAAGGAAATGTTGCATTAGCTAACATTTAAGGGAGGGTGAAAAAGAGACAAGTATCAATTTTCTCTGAGTTATTATAGGACTCATGCAGCAATTCAGACTTTGATATCAGACTAACAGTGTTGTATCAGAAGGATGAAACTTATTTTTCAAGTATCTAGTGAAAGAAGACATTCACTTTCATGAGTTTTTATTTGCATAAATTTTAAAGGAAAGTCAGCATCACCACAGATACACAAAGAACTAAAGTCAGGCATGGTGGCTCATGCCTGCAATCTCAGCTACTTGACAGGAGTCAAAAGGATCAAACATCTAAGTCTAAGAATAGCCCAGGCAAACTTATTGAGACTCTATCTAAAAAAAATGAACGAACACCAAAAAAAACCCCACCCCAACAAACAAAAAAACCCACCCCCCAAGGACTGGGGGCATGGCTCAAGTGGCAGTGTGCTTACCTAACAAGCGCAAAGACTGGGTTCAATCCCCAGTATTGCCTTATATACAATGAAAAACTAAGAACCCAGAGTTGATTATTCTGAAGAGTTGATAACTATCAAACTTCAAGTTGTATGATAATAACATTGAAATTCAAGTTTATATGAATACTTTCAAATGTTATTATTACTTGGGATAACATTTGTTTTGTGAAATCAAATATACAATAAGCCCAGCATGGAAAATTATCCCTCCTTTTTAGTAGTAGTATTACCTTGTGTATAGGCAGCATCATCAGATCCCATACTCAATTTCCGTGCTTCACTTATTCTATCCACATGTGCTAAGGTAGGGTCCGTGAGGTGCTGAATATTCTCTGTTTCTACATAATGATCAGGATGACTTAGAAGATTTGTAAGTTCAAAGGTAGGGGACACCACCCCTGGTGAAACTGCAGGGGGTTTATTGGGAGAAACTGTAATTTTGAAAGTATATTTTGTGTTGGGTTGAGTGACCACCACTCGAGGAGAAGTTGCAGAGTTACTGCCTATTGCTCGACTTTTGGGAGGGTGGTGATGTATAAAGGCTGGACCCATGCTCACTTGCCCAGACATATTCCTGGAGGCAGCAGATGCTCCAGAATTTGTGGATATGAAGAGAGTAGGCTGATTCCGCATGCCCTGTTCATCTCCTGTGGCAGCATTAGCTGAAATGTAGACCTTAGGTTGACTACGGGAGATCATCTCATCAGTATTTGGAGGACTGGCAGCTATGTAAACAGTGGGCTGATTTCTACTTAAGGTCTGGCTGTTGATGGAAGAGGAACTGCCGGAGGTTCGAGGTCCAGAAGAGCGCAATTTTGAAGAACTGTTTCTTTGTGGGGGTTCAAGTTTGATTTCGATCTGGTTTTTTCGAGGTCCTGTTGAAATATTCTGAATGTTGTATTGGCTATGGGCAGAAGACTGTGAGCTACCAGATGAATGAACTGCTGGCGGTTGTGGAGTAGTAGGTGAACTGATGGGCATGTAGACATGGGAGGTCTGGTGGCCTTGCTGATTTGGCTGCTGGGCTGAGGTATGTGGCAGAGGATTAGATGAGGGATAAGTAGTCCAAGGACCAGGCTGCGAAGGTTGATAGACTTGTTGAGGGTTCATGGGATTGAACTGAGATACCCACCCAGAATGCTGTTGTGTCTGTCGAGTTGTACCACTAGGAGTTGTAATATAAGGCCTAATATAGATAGAATTTCCCTGTGGACTATTAAGTACAGGTGGAGGTACACCATGTATGTGCAAGGATGTAGGAGTATTACGACCAGTCTGGATATTTGGGGCTAAAGTTACCATGATGGGATTAAATCTGGGAGTTTGTTGAGAAAGGTTAGGTGTTCCTTTGCTGCCTAGGTGAAATCCAAGATGTGGTGTTGAGTTTGAAGCACCAGATGTACTGGACATTCCAAAAACATTAAAGCCTTGAGGAACATGAGCTGGTGCTGTCTGTGGCTCCTGCTGAAATAGTTCATTATTGGACTGACCACCTTGAAGCTGTCCATCACTAATGCTGTGTGTTAAAGTCCTACTTCCATTCATTCTACCCCCTTCTCTTCCATGGTGGTAAACATTCTGTGACTGCAAGTCCAAGTTGAGAGAAGTCATGTGATTGCGTAGACCAGAAATTCCAGAATCATCCGAAAAATTCAGGTCTCCTTCACCATAAAGATACCTTGTACTCTCCTGAGAGAGAACAGCACAGCAGGCATCCAGGTTATTATTATTCTATAAAACAACAACAAAAAAAATAGCTTGATGTTAATAATTAGAAGTTAATATTTAAGACTGTCATTACTACAAAAAAATTATGTGATTCACAAATGAATGGTTAATACAATTGTAATATATTTGAAACTTTTTATTTGGGAACTAGTTTTATGCAAATGATTGAATTAAAAATCGTACTGGAGTCAGGGCCTTATGCAAGCGCTCTACCACTTGAGCCATGCCTCCCGTCCCAAATCACTGTTTTTTCAAAAGCTGTTTAGTAAAATGGATTCATATGAATATAGTAAAATTATAATCTAATTAAAATACCATTTTAATGTTGAGGTAATTGACTTAAGCATGTAATTCTGTATAAGTTATTTTTAAAGTTAAATGATGTAAGTTTAGGTGTCTCAAAATATTTGGAAAATATTCTACCAATGCTTAGTCAAGTGTTACACAAAGTTTTTTAAACTAATGACCCTTTAACAAATTAATTTTTAGCATTTAAATTTAAAAAGTTCTAAATTCATACCAAAGCAATCTAACTTCCTCACAAGCTTCCTCTTAATCTATGGAAAGTATCTATCTACCAAAAATGAAATATGGGCACAGGCAGCCTCCAAAGAAACTGAGTTTGTATCTGTGTCTTTAGAGAGTGAGTCATAAAAATTCATTATAAAGAAACAAAACAAAAGCAAAAACAAGCTGTTTTTAATTTAAAGGATACTCAAAAGAAATTGCCTATTATTCATAAAACATCCACAAAAATACTTACTGAACATCTACCATAGGGACAGCACTGTTTGAGCCTGTGGAAGTCACAATGACATGTAAAACTGAACGCTTCCCCTAGAAGAGCTTGTAACTCAATTCCACAGACAAACCACGAATTTTGAAAAAATAACATTATTAACATGCCAAATAGTACGTGGTACTGAAGCTCAACAGAGTCAGTATTGCAGCAGATGAATGTAAGAAAGGACTGGCCTAGTGAGGAAGGCATGGCCTGATGGTTTTTGTAGTATATATAGGACTTGAACAGAGAAAAAAGAATTCTTGATAAAGAGAATGGCACAAGTAAAGGAGGATATAAATGTAGCAGCTAAGTTAAAGCATATTCCACACAAAGCAATTAGAATAGAACTAGCTGGAGAGGTTCAGATTGGAAATACTGAAAGGAATTGCTGCAAAAGTAGACTGCGGCCTGCCCAGCAAACATGAGGCCCGGAGTTCAAAATCCCAGTACCGCCAAGAAAAAAAAAAAAAGTAGATTGGGATTAAATAATGAAGGATTTTTGAAAAATGAGTCACATTACAATTTGGCCTTTATTATAAGCAATCAGGAAAGCTACTAAATATAGATGACCAGAGTGAAGGTACAAAGGATATTTTGGGAAGATAATTCTGTTGATACTTAAGATGAAAGGAAATGAATATTCTTTTGATAAAACAAGCAGAAGACATGAAATAATGGGCACATGGTAATGGAAACGAGTCACAAAAGACTAGTCAACACAATTTGGACTAAGTGAAAAAAATTCAAAGAGAAGTAGAAGATTCAGAACCTAGAGAAAGGGGAAGTTTTAGACATTTAAAAAAAATGAAAAATAAAGTTAAATATTTGCAAGCAATTTGATGAGATAAAATCACACAAGAGAGATTTGGACTGTAAAGGTATCTTGAGGTCTTGTTAAGAAATAATGGCAGTCTATACCGTTTGAACAGGTAATTCAGAAGAAAAAGTGAGCAATGGTTGACTTTTTTCCCCTCTGAGAATCAACAATTTAAATCTCTCATACAATTAAAATCCTTTGATTCTACTCATGACTCTGAATAGATATATTCAGTTTTTCAAATAAAATTGAAAAGGTGATCACAATCTTAATCACCTAATTACTCATTATTATTATTAAACTTTATCTTTTGCCAAACCTAGCAAGTGTTTTTTGCTAACTTCAATGCCATTCCAAGAGAATTCATCTCTGTCAAAGCTCAGTGACACCAAGGAACTTGTTTTTCTTACACTTCCTCTCTACTATGATTATCAATTTAAAGATGTATTTTCCTACTAAATCCAACTCCACTTTCTTTGTAAATGCTTCATACTCACATTTACCGAGTATTCTTTTATTCTCTTGATCTCCCCCAAATCTCTTAATTTATAATTATTAATTAATGATAAGTTCATATTAAACAGCAATATTCTAGCCCCAGCTATTCCATAACTCATTGGCCTTATGTTGCTTGTTCTGTGATTGGCTAAATATGACTCATACAGGGCTAAATAATAGCTTCAACTGCTTGTGGGAGGTAGATGTATATCATACTAAGATAATTTAAAAAGTGAAAAACTAAGTTAAAAAAGAATCCAAGTGCCAACCATGTGATATTTCTATACTATTCTAAGTAAGGACTTAATTGTCAAATCTCAAAACAAAATTTAAAAACACAAATTACTCTTTTAGCTATTATAGAGAATCCACAGAACAAAGAAACAATGTGAGCAGTTCCAAAGGGAAGGACTTGAGCAGTAAATATAAGAGGAAAAAAGAAGAGAGGGTAGATCCTTCTGGAACATTCCTCAGAACACACACAGCATGCTAGCCTGGCAAGGCCCTTATGATTAAGAAGTTCTGAATTAGTATTCTATGGGGGGGATCTCTCAAGATAAAGGGCAGCAGTCCACCCAACTGGAAAAGGGAGAACAGCTCCCAAAAGAGAGGCTGTCACCTCTCTTACAGGCATGTGTGGCTCATGCCTGCAATCTTAGGAGGCTAAGGCAGTAGGGGGATCTGGAGTTAAGAGACCAATCTGGGCTACATAGACAGACCCTGTCTCAAAACACAAGTGAAGGAATGAACAAACATAGAGAGAGGCTGTCACCAAATAGTCATTTATATCACATTTAGAGGTAGTGTAATTTAGAGTTCAGAGTATAAAAATATTTTCCCAAATAAACCCTTCCCGTTCTTGTCACAGTTCCTCATGTATCAGCTATCAAGTAAATTACCTGGATGGCCAGAATGATTATGAACTTTGGGCAGTACTAGGGATTGAACTCAGGGCATATGGCTTGCTAGACAGGTGTTCTACCACTGAGGCATGTCTCCAGCCCTTTTTGCTCTGCTTATTTTGGAGATAGGATATCGCTTTTTGCCCAGGCCAGTCTGGACCACAATTATCCTATTTTAAGCTCTCCCCATTGCTAGGATGATAGGCATGTGCCAGCATGTCCACCTTTTTTCCACTGAAATGGGGTCTTGTAAACATTTTGCCTGGTAGGATCTTCTTGATCTCAGCCTCCCAAGATGCCTGGCTCAGCTTGTTTTCTTAATATACTGTGAAGAGTACATTAGAGCTCTTTATTTTTAAAAATATCTTAAGCACACTTAGTATGTGGCTCAAATGGTAGAGTGCTTGTGTATGAAGGCTTGGTTTCAATCCCCAGTTACCACCCCCCACCCAATTTTTTTTAAAGTAATTCTACAAAAGATACTGTGTCTCACTCTCAGTTAATCTGTTTTCAAATTTCTACAACTGAGCTATGGGGAAGTGTTCTAGATAGTTGTTTTAGGGAGAGGGACTTGGGTCCCTGCCCCCCGCTATCTCAGTTCCTTCCCCATACCCTCCAACTCTCATCCTTAATACCTCTTTTTCCACTCTTTTTTCCCTTTTACATTCTATATTGATAAATGTGAACTGCTGATTCCTTCACCAAGTATTTATTATGGGCCTTCACTATTATCATTCCTTCTAATATTAACTGGTAACATTTATTGAGCACATCATGAATCAGATATCCCTACTAGTTGCTTACCTGCATTATCATATTTTATTTTCTGTGAAGTTTTCTAAATTCTTTATTACGGTTGAGGAAATGAAGATCAGAAAATAAGAGTCAGAGAGGTTAATTAAATTACTGCTAGTAACAATCAAAACTCGAACTTAGGTCTGTCCATTGCCAAAACAACGCTCTTAACCACTGTTCTATATATATAGAAAGAGCCAGGTAAGTCTAGAGAATCCCATGCAGCTCAGGATACCTCCAGCATAGGTGTGAAGAGGAACTGGATAAGCATCAGGCTTCAGAAGAACCCAGGATCCCATATCAGATTGCTATGCCCTAGTCAAGACACTTGAAATTCATTCCAAAGGATAAGGAGAACAACAGAAATTTTAAGCATGTAAATATATGAAAAAAATCTACATTTAAGAAGACATTTTGGCAGAAGTTAAGAGGATGGATTGGAGACCCCGAAACTGGGTTAGGCTAAAGGCTGGTAGACCAATTAAAAGTATAGATAGAAGGTGATAAGGGTTTGATGTTGTCACTTGATATTCAGTATAGAGTTGACTAAAAAAATTTCATACAATTTCAAACTTCAAAAATCGTTTGTTTAAGTATGTCTGAGAGCCCAGAATAATTTTTTGAGAGAAAAATTCCCAGTTTAATCAGACAGGAAGGCAGAACTATCACCAAATATTTAAAGACTTCTAGAATTGAGCATACTAAGAACAATGTAGAAATTGTTTTTACATTAATTGGAAAACTTAAAAGTTAAATTTGAAAATATAAAACCAAACTTTTTCCTTTAGAATGTGCAAGTTAGGCACTGTCAAATCAAATATCTTCACTTTACAGATAAGTGACTCACTAAGAGGCCTGGGCAAAATACCCCTGGAGTGCCAAATTAGTATTAGAATCCAAGATTTCTGACTCTTTAACAATTTTTTTCACTTTTATATAAAGATCTGGAATTTTAAAAAGTTCTGACAGAAGAGGAGGTGGCAAAGTAAAGCAAGCTCATAGCTAGTACACATGGGACCATACATCAATGCTTTCCATTAAGCAATCATTTAATCCTTGTATCTACTCTACAAAATAGGTATTGTCTACATTACAGATGGGATATAGAGAGCCAGCCCAATCTTGCCAAAGGCCACATGGCTATCAAACACCAAAGTTCATTTCTTTTCCATCACAGCACACTAATGCCAACAAAAAAGAGAACTTACAGGAGTTTTCTTCCAATGTTTAAAAAAAGACCACATTTGTATTAATACGTTCAGAATCCATTGAACACTGACCTGTAACATACACCTGGATACAACAACTTCAGGTACTTCAGGGAATTTTTGTCGCAGGTCATGTAAAACCTGAAAATCAATTTGGTGGCTTCCTTGGGCCATTCGTATATTGCCTGCTCAGGACTATTTGTACAGTAGGCAATTCTAGGCCTTAGTAGAATTAGTACTCATCTCTTCTGTCCAAGCATTTTCTGTGAAAGAAAGAAAAGAAATTTTAATGAGAACTGATTATAGAATGAAAACTGTTGTGGATTTAAATTTACAGTACAAAAGGGTATGGGATGTGCCTTAGCACTTAACAATATAAATGATAAAGATATTATTTAGGGGCCAGGCATGGTGGCTCATGGCTAAAATTTCGGCTACTCAGGAGGATCATAATTTGAGGCTAGTCTGGGCAAAAAGGTAACAAGATTTCTTCTTAACCATTAAGCCCTGTGGGTGTGGTGATGCGCTGACAGGATTGCTGTACAAAGCTGTTCCAGGTAAAAAACTACAGACCCAATATAAAAAAACAAAAGCAAAAAAAAAAAAAGGGTGAGAGTGTGGCTCAAGAGGTAGTGCCACTACCTACCAAATATATTATTTAGGCCTATAATGCTTTCCGTATAGTTACAATGCCTTTTCTGTACCATCAATTACTAATGGTAAACTTACATATTGTCTAATTCCTTGGTATTTGCATGCACCACAATGGGGATGCCAGAGGCATCCAAGTAGGAAATTACTGTCAAGGTTGTCTTCCCTCATCCTTTTGAAAAAGGGAGAATGAATAACTACTATTTTTTTTAATGATACAAAATCTTATTATTATTTTTTATTTAAAATTCTTAAAAGAATCTGGAAAAAAAAAAGCGGTTCCAAAAAGGTTACACGCTTTATCTAAAACTTAATGATCTGTAATCTGATGTATTTTTAAACTTTGCTTTATTTTTGAGATATGCTTAATTCTTACTGCTTAATTCATTCTCTGGGGTTTAGCAGTATTTTATTTCCAGTGTCTTTTCTATTAAATCAGCATCTGAAGAATATTGATACGTAGTGTCAACAACAGAGGTACTGATTTCATTGGCTTGGAGCATCCTGGGCATTCAGGTTTTTAAAATCCTCCCAGGTGATTCTAACGTGTGGCCAAAGTTAAGAACTTTCCCTTTCCCCTTTTTATTCTTAATGTTCCTTAATGTAAATCAGGCTTAATCTTAAACACTTCTTAGGGATATAAATAGGATATATTAAACCTAAATAAAATATTTAAAGCCATACTCTATTCAATTATCAATTAAAATACATTTTATTTTAGGATAAATTTAACAAGACATAATCTCTTTCAAACTAATTTCTCATGTGTACTATTTCTCCTTTAACTTCATTAATGTTATCCTAAAAAATAAAAGTCTATAAATTCTATGAATGTAGGGACTAGGACTCTTGCTCATTAATGTGTACCTAGCACTTTACAGTATTCAACGTAATACAGCGTTTTTGAATAGATTTGGTGATGACGGTCAATAGAACAAAGTTCATTTAGATTTAACATACATTACACCTTTTAGTTTTTTCATAATCACCACACCTCTGCTTTCCCCTCCATTCTTATACTGTTTTTTCTTATACCATTTATTGATTTCTGACATATATTTGATTCATTATCTATCTGCCTTCCAAACATAACTTCACAGGATCAAGGACTTTGAAGTTCACTGCTGTATCCCGGATATAGATCATTCCTGGCTCACAAAAAGATACAACATTCATTGGATGAAATAAAGGTTTTACTGGAAGATTCCTTCATATTACAGTTTCTAAAACACATTTCAAGTGAGTAAAGTTTGGAAAAAACTTTTTTATACACAATTTTAGGGAGAGGCAAATAAATCCTCAGGGTAAACAAGGAATAATACCCTTATAATTTAAAAGAGGATGAACTATGAAAACAAATTTATCTTATTCTGTTATTAAAACATATACAGAAATCTCTTACCATACTTGCTTACTTATCTAATGGACTCTGAGTATACAAATGAGAAATTATTAAAATTTACAACTGTACTTTTATATTTGTGTGGTGTTAGGGTTCAAACCCAGAGTCTTGTGTGTGCTACTAAGTATTCTACTACTAAGCTACATTCCTAGCCCGTATACCTTTTTTTTTGTACTAAATAGCTCCTTTTAGACCAACTTTCCATGAATAAAAACTATAGACACTAGAGAAAGTATTAAAAAACCAACTACTTGAAGGCAGAAACAGATAAGCAGAGGGCAGTATTTAGAAGATGGGAACAATTGAATCTGGAACGTCCCCGAAAGGCTCATGTATTGAAGGCTTTGGTCCTCAGCTGGTTGGTACTATTGAGAGGATGGTAATTGCAAGAGTGGGGCCTTGTTGGTGGAAGTAGGTCCTGGAAGGATATACATCTTGTTTCCAACTTCCTGACTGCTGTGAAGAGAGCAGTTTTGCTCCACCACACACTTCTCACCATGCTGTTGTCTCTCCACAGGGCAAGAAACATTAGACCTGGGCTGATGGAGTGGATTAAGACCAGTGCCTGCCTAGCCCTGAGTTCAAACCCCAGTACCACCAAACAAACAAAAAAAACCAATGGAGTAAAGTAAGTGACCATGGACTGAAACCTTAGAGATCATAAGCCAAAACAAACTTTTCTTTCTTTAAGCTGATTGCCTCAAGTATTTTGTCACAGTGACAGAAAGCAGACGAACACAGTGACCTCCACTTTAAAATGGCTTTCAGCCAGAGAGCAGGCCCCAGTTGGTTTGGGTAACTAAAACCCAGTTATAAGACAGCAGTCTTTATTTGTCTGATGAACCAAAACTTGGCATGGTACAGACAAAGCTGAAAGTCTAGTGAGTACATGATGGAAAGGAAAGGAAGACTAAATTTTATGTATACCTGCTGCATACATGCTTGGACTCTGAACTACACATATGTAAGACAGATTCCAAGCAGCCAGGCTAAGGTTAAAATAACTGATCTGAGATTCTTGAGTGTTGTTTTGAGTTGAGGAAAGTCAAGAGGCCACGGAAACAAGCCAAATATAAATATCCATTGGAGGAACATAATAGAATCCAGAGTCTCTACCTGTCATTCATGGACTAAAAACAATCCAAAACCAGTACAAACAAGAAACAGGAAAAAGTGAGCCATACTGAAGGGAAAGACAGGCACTGGAGAGCAAGCCTAAGGTGACTCAGCTGCTAAAGCTAGCGCAGGACTGTGAAGCAGCTATTTTAACTACACTCATGAACGTAAGGCAAGTAGGTTTGAGCTTCTCCACAGAGAAACAGCAACTGTGGATACAAAAGAAGAGCCAAGTGGGAATTTAGGAGCTAAAAAGTAAAATACTGGAAACAAGAAATTGACTGGACAGGTTTAACTACAGATTGGAAATGGCAGAAGAGTCAGAAAACTTGAAGGCAAGCAATCCAGAAGACAGAGAGAAATAGGGTCCAGTGGGAAAGGATCAAAATGTCTACTGTACCTGTAATTAGAAACTAGGATGAACAAGGACAGAGAGTGGGGTATATAAAAAATGTGAAGAAATAGTGGCTAATAATATCCCAAAGTTAGTAAAAGATATAAATTTATACATTTAAGATCAGTGAACCTCAAATAAGGAAAGTAAGATAAAATACAGGAGCAAAATATAGTCAAAATGCTGAAAACCAAACAGAAAGAAAATCTTAAACACAGCCAAGTAAATAACACAGGGGAAGAGCAATTCAACTGAATGCTGACTTCTCACAGTGCTGAAACGGAAAAAAAAAAAAAAATCACATTGTCAACTCATATTCCATACCAGCAAGAGCAAACTTTCAGTATGAATGCTAGAAAACTATTTTAAAGCATAGCCTTTGTGGAGGAGTAATTGATTTGTAAGGAAAACCAATCAACCAACCAACCAACCAACCAAACTGGTATTTACTTAATTTCAGTATGAAAACTAAGAAAAATCTCGTCAAGCTTACTCTGAAAAATTATTTTCCAAAGCAAAATGGAGACATTTTCTATGATAAGATGCAAAAGGACTACTCTTCTAAGAAAAGAATAAAGAAACCACTCTTCATAAAACGTTCCAGCATTATGTATTTATGGACCTAAACTTTACAATGATTCAGGAGCATTCATTCCTTAATAATTCTAAAGAGTAGCAGAATACACACAGAAAGACAGAACAGGACAGTAATTATATTGGAGAGGGTTGTAAAATGCATTGTATTCTTTTTTCTCCTTTAGGAGTATATATTTTTGACCTCTCAATAAAACAATTATTATGACAGTAAAGAGTATCAGTTAATGGCTCGGACTGCAAGCTTTGCTTCATATTTGCTTAATTTATCATGTTGACTACTTCCAGGACTAGAAGTACACACAAAGCTCCCACAAGAAGAGACTAATCTCCATGCTAAAAAACAACAACAAAAAAAAACCACCAAAAAACCTACAAAGCAAGCAAGCAATAGGACTTATAGATCTGATCAAAATTTGGGTGATTATGATTATAGCATTTAAAATTGGTACTATCATTATCATCTACAACCACACACTGAAGGAATGCCTTGTCTGCAGCATATACTGTGCCGGAGATATGTCTGTGTCCTTGCCAAGAAGATTACGGAAACTCCTGGATTAAAGGTTTAAAATGACAAGCTTATAATTTAGATAACTATTTTAAGTTACTCTTTATTATACCGACTGTCTGCCATCTCTCTTGTTGCTAACGTAGCTACAGTTTTCATCTCTTCTGAATCATTCAAAAACAGAGAGCAAGAAAGACAGGTGGAATCCAAATCAAGAACTGCCTCAGAGGGATGAGGGAATGGGTCAAGTGCCTGCCTAGCAATCATGAGGCCCTGGTTCAAAACCCAGCACTGACAAAAAACAAAACAAAAACCAAAAACCTACCTCAGAGGCCATCAAAATGTGGAAGTTTTATTTTTAATAATAATGACTGAGAAGCCACCTAAATATTTTAAACTCAGGGGTAGGGAAAGTGACATGGAGAAAGGGCAAATGATATAAAACAACCAGCGCTGGAGGTATAGCTCAAACGGTAGAGTGCCTCCTTAGCAAGGGAAAGTCCCTGAGTTTAAACCCCAGTTTAAAAATAACACCTTCCTCAAACCCACAAACAAACAAAACCTACTACAGTATAAGCCAAGAAAAGATAATTGC